CAAAACCAAAATGAAATTAAATATGAAAAGTGCTCTATAAAATGCAAGGTAAATGCAATGTACTATTATCATAAATGGAAAATGAGGGAAGCCCAAGAGATGCTGGGAGCTGGCCAGGGGCACACATCTGGGCAGAAGCAGGGCTGGGGCAAATTTGAGCTTGCCGCCATTGCGTACAGGGAGCAAGCAGATTATCTTGAAGCCTCATTTTAATCTGTTGTTCCCACTTTATTCCTGGAGTCTCTTACCAGAGCTGCTGTAATAATAAAATTTACTGGTTCTATTTTAATTTCTTCAACACTCTGCTACACGTGCTGGCTAACATAAAACGATTGCGTACAGGGAGCAAGCAGATTATCTTGAAGCCTCATTTTAATCTGTTGTTCCCACTTTGTTCCTGGAGTCTCTTACCAGAGCTGCTGTAATAATAAAATTTACTGGTTCTATTTTAATTTCTGTTCTTCAACACTCTGCTACACGTGCTGGCTAACATAAAACAAGAGGCAAGAAAAACACTCAATCTGTAAGGTAGGTTATTATAGTCCCTCAAAATTGAGTTTACTTACTTCCTTTCTAAGCTTCTGTCTGCTTGATACCAATCTGAGGTCTGTACGCTAAAGACAGGAGAGTATTGATAGAAGACATATCACTACTTAAGATCTTGCCAAGGTAATCAAGTTCAAGTCTGACCCAGCCTCTGGACTGGCTGCCAATTTGCAGGAAATACAGGGGACAAAAAAACATTTGGAGACTGGCTGGTTAGCTCATTTGGGAAAAGGTGTTCATAACACCATGGTCAAGGGTTTGGATCCCCTTACCAGCCAGCCAGCCAGCCAAAAACAAAAACATTCTCAACTTGCAGCATGAGTGTGCAATCAGCAAAATCCAGGGAAAGTCAACAAGTCAAAAGGCCCAAGTTATTCAACAGATAAATCAAAAGGAAAAAAACAAAACAAAACAAAAAACTAAGAAAAAGAAAAGGATGAGGAGAGAATCAGTAGATTAAAAGCCGTAAAAGAAAACAGTTCAGCCAATGATGGAACATGGAATACTATTCAGTGATAAAAAGGAATGAACCCAAGGTGCAGAGTTTGATCCCTGTACTAGCCAGCCACCAAAAGCCAAACAAAAAAAGAAAACAAACAAACAACAAAACCCCAAAAGGAATGAACTATCAATCCACGCAATTCACACTGCTAAATGAAAGAAGCGAGTCTGAAAAGGCTACAGCTTGTATGAACCCAACTATATGATATTTTGGAAAAAGGAAACCCAGACATAGAGAACAGATCAGTGGTTGCCCAGGAGTTGGGGAGGATTGAATATGGGACTTTTTTTAGGGCAGTGAAACTGTTCTGTGTAGTGCTGAAGTGGTGGATACATCTATCAAAATCTACTGAACTTCACAGCACAAAGAGCAAAACTTAATGTGTGCAAAATTTTAAGTAACTGATGAGGCAGTCAGAGGATGCCAGGATGAAAAGCAGGCTATGACAGAAGAATCTGGTTGTATTACAGACATAGGACACACTCTCACTGAAAAGTCCTGGGGGCAAAGGTAATCTAAGTAGCTTGGAAATGAGTGGAAAGTGTGAGACTAAAGGGAAAAGGATCCATACCTAAGCATGGTAGACTAGGTGGATAGGTTGTTTCCCAAAAGGGTACAATTCTGAAACCTCTAAACATATATTCTGAGGCTGAACAGACAGAGAAATGGATTGTGAATGGTGCGAGCCAGGTTTCTCTCTGCTGAACAGATAAGCAAGAGTGGCAGGCTAGAATGACCCAACTAGATTAGAGTTGGAGACATCAACATGAACTCATGCATAGCTTAATATGCATGCAGATGGATATATAGCAACATAATTATAGACCTGTGTGTACACACGGATTAGCATACACACGCCTATTTCCTAGCTCTGTCCCCTGAGGAGGCCGAGAAGCCATGATACCCCAATAGCAATGAGCACACCAGTGCCCAGATCTTGGTTTCTAATTCCATCCTCCAATAAAACGAACCATGGATCCTTGGAGAAATGGTAGAGTCTAAGGCTGGGGTAGAAACTGTACAAAATGAGCCTAGAACATCTTGAAGCACTAGAAAGTTAGAAAGTGCTCAAAAACAACAAACAAAAACAAAAATAATGTAGACATGTCAAAGGGACCTAGGAGCCAACTGAGAGAGTTCCTAGTGGCTAAAGCTAGAACAATCGGAGCAACAAAATAATGTAGTATTGGATTTTAACCCAAAGTATAAAATAAAAGTGCTCAAGTCTGTACTGATATAAATGTTTGAATAAATACATAAATGGGCAAGTCTTCCATATAGAAAAATTCCAAATAATTATGTAGCTACTCCACCTTCAAGGAGGAGGAACAAAACTGTCTGCTCAAGGATGACCTGTGCAGAGTGACTTCCTTCCAAGAAGGACAGTATGAAAGGAGGGAAAACGAGTCATTCTATAGTGGGAAAACTCACAAATATGACCTCAGCCACATGGTCAAGCTTACCACCAACAATGGTAAGACATCTTGATAGCACCGCCCTCCATACAACGTACCTTGTTTTGTTTTGGTGGCTGGCCAGTACAGGAATCTGAACCCGTGACCTTGGTGTTACAAGGCTGTGCTCTAACCAGCTGAGCTCACCAACCAACCCTAATGGGATGTGATGAGAAGGGCACTTTACCTCTGCGGTCTTCCTCTCCCAAACCTACAACCACAGTTGAACCATCAGACAAACCCAAACTGAGGGACATTCTACAAAATACCAGATGAGTACTCCTCAAAACTGTCAGGGTAATCAAAAACACAAACAGTCTGAGGGACTGATGGGGGAGCTCTTTATTGTCCTTATGTTTCTGTAAATCTAAAATTATTCTGAAGTATAATTTATTAATTTGCATAGAATGTGTGTGCATACAAAAACGAGTAGAAGTAAAACTGGGGAAACCTGAATAAGATGGGTGGATTGTGTCAATGTCCATATCCTGGTTGCAACATTGTACTGTAGTTCCGCAAAATGTTACCACTGGGGGAACTGGAGAAAACATACAGGATCGCTCTATTATTTCTTACACCAGCATGTCAATCTACAACAATCTCAAAATAAAATTTTTTTTTCCTTTTTGTCTTTTTTTACTGACCGGTAACGGGATCACAACCCTCAGTGTCGCGCCCGTACTGGGGACCGGCAACAGGATCGCAACCCTC